GTTTTATACATTTGTTTGCTTTTTTTTTTTGTGAACCAACACCCCATAGTGGTATCTGAAGTAGTTGGAGATGATAGTACTCATTCTTCATGTACAATCCTATACTTTGTTTTTTGAGTAGTAGTCATTATTATTTTTGTGGTTCATTTGTGATGTTCTTTCACTGTATGTTGTAATGAAGAGGGTGAATTGATAATAATTAACTGAACAGTGGATATAATATCTTGTTATTAATTAATTATTTATTCTATTTTTATTTACATATTATTACTCTTAATGCGTAGTGAAACTAATGGGTTTATCTTTTCTATTTCCCTTTTCTTCACTATCCGCTATGTAAAGTTTACGTGTACTCTTAAATAATTTTTTCTCTATTCACCATATGTACTCTCCTGTTGTTTTTCTTCTCTTCTTTTCCTCCCTGTCAATTGAAGACCCATATGGACTGATAGTGAAGACGCCAAGGATGGCGTACATGTTACTAGTGTATCTATTCTAACTGTGATATGGCTGTTGCTGAAGGGCATGAATAGTGAAAAGAGGGAATCACTGATACTGAAACCCTTTACATGCCTATGTAGTGGATATAAGAAAATAGAAAGAAGAAATGAAAGTTAATAGTGCTGCAATTACTTAGTTACGACCAAGCTCTTAATAAGCAAGACTGTGTGTGTGTACATGAGTTATGCCTCCAGTCCGTAGTAATGTAGTTAGTTAATAAAGCCACTTGATTTTCATCACTGTATGGCACTAACTGCAGTACCACTGATGTCCCACCAACAATACCCCAAGCCAGAGTTCCTCACCATCCAGTAAAAAGAAGATAATGATGTTCTTATAGATGACACTAATAGGTATCGTTGTTAATATTGTTATTCTATCTTCGTCTAATCTTTAACAATGAAAATACCTTTATTTATATGTCTGAATTTATATCACTATGAAACTTCACGTAAGTATTTGGATTTGATTATTAGCTACACTGTACGATGTAGTGTTCGAACCAGATAAAAAAAACAAGTAGACAATAATGATAAAATTTGTTCTTAATTAATGCTTATCACTAGATATGTATTTGGATTTTAATAATAAACCTTCCTTTTTTATGCTTGTCATTCTAAGAACCATATTAATAATGATAAATTGTTGCTCTCTGTTTCTTCTCTTTCATAACATGACGCATCATAAATGAAAGAACACAGCTACACAATCACTATGCGCACAACTCTTTTATTAATCTTGCTACTGATACTCTCCTGCATCTGTACATGTGCAGCAGCAGAGAGGATGCCACTGCCGGTGCCACGTGTGGGTGGATACGCTACAGAGGCAACAGGAAAAGGGAGGAGAGGCAACGAAGCGTGGAATAACGGTCAATTCACTACCACCACACCATCCCTCAGTATGAGTGAGTCCATGAGTGCCTCTGCCACTCTTCCTCTCACTGACACCACTACTGTTGCCCCA